TAATTTCTCATTTATATTATTAGTGCTTATTTTGGAGCTCTTATAGTAATTAATCAAATTTCAGTATAGATAATCTACTAAATTAATCTGTCAATTTTATATTTTATCTTTTTTAAAAATTTTTTTTCTGAAAATGTTTGCCTATTACATTTAGATGTATTGTTAGGTGTTGTCGAGTTGGTTCCGACTCATAGCAACCCCATGTACAACAGAACGAGACACTGCCCGGTCCTGTGCCGTCCACATAATTGTTGTCATACTTGAGTCCGTTGTTACAGACACTGTGTCAGTCCATCTCTTTGATGGTCTTCCTCTTTTTCCCTGACCCTCTATTTTACCAAGCACGGTGTCCTTCTTCAGGGACTGTTTCCTCCTGATAACATGTCCAAAATATGGGAAACAAAGTCTGGTCATCCTTGCTTCTCATGAGCATTCTGGCTGTACTTCTTCCAAGACAGAGTTGTTCATTCTTCTAGCAGTCCATGGTATAGTCAATATTCTTCGCCAACACCGGAATTTAAATGCATCATTTCTACTTCTCTCTTCCTTGTTCATTTTCCAGCTTTCACATACATATGAGGCTACTGAAAACACTATGACTTGGGTCAAGTGCACCTTAGTCCTGAATGTGAGTTGTTTGCTTGTTAGCACTTTAAAGAGATCTTTTGCAGCAGATTTTCCCTACGTAATGTGTCATCTTTCTCTTGACTGCTGCTTCCGTGGGCATTGATTAAGGCTGCAAGTAAAATGAAATCCTTGACAACTTCAATATTTTCTCCATTTATCATGAGGTTACTTATTGGCCCAGTTATGATATATTGGTCCATATGTATGATCTATTGAAATTCATTTTTTGTGATGCTGATAGAAGTTTATACTTTTCAACAACATTATCTAATTGAGTGAGCATAATTTATGGTCAAAATGATCAGTCATCTATTCCTCTTTGTGGCCACCTTTGTCATAAATCAAGGATATCGATGTACATTTGTATGTGGGTATGTTCTTGGTCACTACTATGTTTCACTTTTCTGCTCTTTTGTTCTTACATCAATATCATGTGGGCAAAATCACTAAAGCATTCTATTTTCTATCTATTCAGTGTTCTCCTTCAAGATTTATTTACTTCTTCTACAGTTAGCCCTTTACATTTCTGTATAAATATGCTGAAAACACATGTTGTGACTCTATTAAAGTTATGTTAAATCAATAGATCAATTGTTGAAAATTGACATCTTTATAATGTAATATCTTAACCAGATTTTATCGTCCATTTATTTTCTCTCAGCATGGTTTTGTGTAGAAGTCTTGAAATTTGAAATCAGATGTTTGTTTGATTTGTCTCTGGTTATCTTTTATATTTCCTTGTCTGACGTTTCCAATTTCTCACTTCGCTAATGATATGTGGACATTGACCTTGTGTCCAGCAATCTTTCTAAACACACTTAGTAATTCTAGTAATTTGCCTTTAAGTTTCTTTTGACTTTCTACACACAAAATTTAATCATGTATGACCTGTGTCAGTTTTATTCCTTCTGTTACAGTTTATACCTAGTTTATTTATGTATTTACTTGAAAGACTGCTCACTTCAAAATTGAGGAGAAAAAGTGCTATTGGGCATCATGGTCTCATTGACCTGTGTCGCAGTAACAGCTTTAATCATTTCGTCACTGGGTACATACTCTGTTGGTTTTTTTGAAGACAACTCCATCCGAATAAGGCAGTTTACTTTTTCTCCCTTTTAAAAACCATTTCTTGAGATACACTTGACATAAACTACATATTTACATCATATAATTTCTTGAGTTAATATATGTATATACCTATGAAACCATCAATTATAAATAATGAATACAACTGTTACCCTCAAAAGTTTCATTAATCACCTTTATAGCCCCTTCTCCCACCCTTCACCCATCC